ACAATCCATCAATCTGGATTGATGGATGAGGATGCAGAAAAAAGGCCTTTGAAAGAAATACTTTTGGCGGGGATATTTAAATGTTCTTATTCTGTATTAAAAATGCAGATGTCAACATTGCATTGATGCATGATAAGTAAAAGTGAAACTGACTCTTTCGTTATCAAATCTCAATGAAGAGCAAAAAGGAAAGTTGGCACAAATATTGAAAAATCTTTCAGAAATCTTTTTAATGTAAGATGGTGACATAATGTAGTTTTAACCCTCCCCCCATTTATATTGACAATGACTTTATTCTATAGATGCTAAAATACTGTCCAGTTGTCTTTATCATATATCATATATGGAATATGATTCAGCATCTGATTCATCTTTTGTATTTTGGCTTACTCTATATTTGAACCTAATAGAAGCTATTGCAAACACTTACTGCTGTTCAAGTTGCTTTTCTGAGGACCAGGATGACTTATTTTCTTAGGCTATGTCTGCACTACAGACCTTATAGCTGCACAGTTGTACCACTGCAGCTGCAATGCTGTAAGGTCTCCTGTATAACCGCTCTATGCTGGTAGGAGAGAGCTCTCCTACTGGTATAATTAAACCACCCCCAACTCTAGCTATGTCTGTGGGAGACTTCTCTTGCCAACATAGCACTGTCCACACCAGAGCTTTTTGTCGGCGAAACTTTTGTCAGTCAGAGGTGTGTGTGTTTTCCCCACCCCCCCACTCCCCCCGACCAACAAAAGAGTTGCTAACAAAAGTGCTAGTGTAGACATAGCCTAAGTCTCCAAATTTCCACTATGCTATTCAACAATATTCTCTTCTGTTAGCTCATGTTAAACTAGGATAAGGATAGGAACAGCCGCTAGGCCAATCATATCTCCTCAGCATTGCAATTTAGTGTAATTCAAGGATCTCTTTTGGGCAACTGTAATATTTCTGAAGTGATTCTGTCAGAGAAATTATTACAAAAAAAGAAAGATGCAATTGCTAACAGGTAAGTAAAATCTTCATATATTTCTTTAACAAATATTTTTGGAAAATGGAAAAATGCATTTAAAAAACTTTTCAAAGAGGAATGGCCAGGTTAAAATCACCTTTTTAAAAAGTGTAAATATATTTTTAAAATTTCAGTTTTAAATTACCTTTTGCTGTACTCTCTTCATTTACATTTCTCACATATTAAACAATGCAAATAGATTAGCAAATTTCACTTTTGTTTATATTCCATAGCCAAACTTTTTCATTTTCTTACGTTCTAACACAGTGTTGCATTGTTTGATTGCAGACACCAAATTATTGTTGAAACTACATAAATAAAATTGAAATACTTAGTAAAATTAGCTTTACAAAATTTACACGATAGACCAAATTTGACATCAAAATGCTCCTGAAATTAAGCTGAAGGTAATAAATTTGTAATAAAACTATTGGAAAAAAGTTCACATTATTTTTACAGACTGTTGAAGTACTGTTTCAGCATAGAATGTTTTAATTTTTTCTTGTAAAATGGATTAGTATCGATATATGCTATTCTTTTCATTAATTCATATAATTTAATTTGCTGATACCTTAATGAAACCATGTTTTAAAATTAAAGTAAAATTTGGTTCCATTGGCAAAATAGAAGCTCTCTTGTATTGAAATGTTTCAACAGAATACTGTATTTGTTTTGTTTTTTGATTAGAGGAACTGGGATGTGCTTGACTAGAGTTTTTACTTTTTTTTTTTTAATTGTGGGGGTGGGGTGAGAAGGGGCTTCGTCTTTATACCTGTCAGAGCTTGGTCTTGCTGCTACATTGGGGTCTCATTCATGTTCCATCAAAGCATGACTAGATCAGAGTGCCTTAGAAGGTCATCAGTGCTGTTTTTTAATCGATGAAAGAGGGTCATAATATAGTGGCACAAGGCATTTTTCCACCACCAGAACTGAAAGTGATGCCTCTTCAGTGCAGTCAATTTATACTTTTAGGAAGTGAGAGATTAGAGCAGGGATGGCCAAACTGTGGCTCTTTTACCATTGAAGTGTGGCTTGCAGGACCCCCTCACGTCTCTGCCCCCCATTCTCCACCAACCAGACTTGGGGGAGGGGGGGAGGTGGGGAAGCTCACGACCTCTGCCTTGCAGCAGGGTGGTGGGGGTAGCAGTAGGAGGGGGGTCTCGAGGCTTCAGCCCTGTGGGGCGCACCTGCCAGGGTTTGGGGCTTCAGCAGGAGCGGGGCTGAAATCCCAAGCCCCGGCAGGTGCCTCCTGTGGGCCTGAAGCCCCAAGCCCTGGCAGGTGCGCCCCGGCTCTCGAACTTCTGAAGCTTGTCGTATGTGGCTTGGAGAGTCAGTAAATTTGGCCACCCCTGGATTAGAGGAACTGAATCTGGGTCATTTGCATGGCATTGCAGAACATTGCTCCTGTAAGCAACTTAACTGACTCAAGGAATTGTCTTTTTACGTGCAAGAGAAAATGGTAATCAAGTGACGTGAAATGGAATTAGAGTACTACATTAGCTGAATGAATATACTTTTTAGTTCTCTTTGCTAAAAAATACACTGTTTCTTTTGTTCTTTGGACTGGTCAGGACAGGAGTAATGCAGAGAGAGTGCACACTCAGCCGTTAAGAAGAGGGACTACATCTTGTTTGTCTCTATAGTAACCTCTTCTGAGAGTTTTAAATAGCAGCATCAACAGGCTGTAAAGGAAAGTTTCTTCTAACTCTCTACCAGACGATGATGGCTATAATCTGTAGCATTGTGGTCTGAATCTGTAAAAGTAAGTGGGAATGGTAAAGGAATCCTGTGGACTTTTAACAGCAAAGAAGATAATTCCTGAACAACCAAATTGAACATTCTCAAAGTTTAACATCTATTCACAGGAATATAGATTATTTTGGAAGAGGCACACTGTGTTTTAGTGAATGATAGTTATTGAGCATCATGGAAAAACTTTTTAAAGAAAAAAAATTTGTTTTGCTGTTTTGGTTAATTACCTACACCTATTAAAAAGTGCGGTGAACACTCCCACAAAAAAAAACAGATACAGAGGCAACAGCCATTTAAACCCAGAGATAAATTGGAATTTAACAATGCAATTTATAATTAAATCTTTGATACAGCCTCAACATTAGCAACATTAAAGAGCAAATCTGTAATGTGCATCTGAGTTACAAACTGTGGAATGTTTTGTTCTGAATTTCCTCAAGTAATCCTACAATGTATAGTTTTAGTTCCAGTAGGGTTTGGGGTGGTGGGTTCTCAAAATCTGGGTCACCGCTCCAGTGGAATCTCTAGATGTGTTTAATTTTTTTCTATCTTTATGGAAATATGACCCCAAGTATCTGAAACTGTATACACTTCTTGTTCAAGATTAAAAAATTTACATATGTGGTTTTAGATTTTTGTGATCATAGGTGTGCAGGTAATTATGTGAAAATTCAAAGTTCAATACATATTTTTTTAAATTGCAGCTTTGCAGCAATACTTTACACAGATAGTACATTTTTTAACATGGTTTCTAACTCAGTTGCTAAATGATATTGCCGTCGGTCATGGGTCCAACAACGCTCCAGCTATCCTGGGTCCCACTGGGCAAAGGCCAAACGAACCCCTCTCACTACTTGCTTTAACTATCTTCATGAGACAAACACCTAGTGTGTATATTTTGCATTCTTATCAACACTTCATGGTATAATAGTAATGTGTTTTTATTGCACCTTTCAGTCCAAAAGGATCCCAAATAAATGTATAAGGTTTACTTTAACATCTCTGTGGTGGAAATTATGTAGCCCTTCTGAGAACAACCGTACATAGGTATTTGTAGGAGGGAAAGTGAAGAGTAACTTTAAGAATTTTGTTATACAGCACAGTTAAACTTTGCTGCTATGGCTACCCCCCAGCTTGGTAACACCACAACTGTATGAAAGGTGCCATATACTCTTCCATGTAAAACCTGTGACTTTTACATCTCATCCAGAAGATAGTCCTTCACCAGCACAATACCCTAGAATACCATACTGAGTCACAGATAAGGGTGGATCCTACTATGTCAGTACCACATCCTGTACCACCTGGGTTTTCCATGGATGTGTCCAATTCAAGTACTGACAGTTTCCAAAATCCAAAGAGATTACAGTCCAAGAGGGTCCCTTTTCCTCCTCATTCGTACTGTAATTTAAAAAAATTCGTTTTCTCTATTGGCTTTGGTTTTCCTCCCTTGAGCTCATTCAGTCAAACAAAGCTGACTGCCTGCTCCTCTTTCCGCTGTCCCCTTGGATCTGGAAGCATAGTTTGACTTCTGCTGTCTTCACTGACTTTTTTTTCCTGTGTATTATCTCTAAACTATTATTATTTATACATAAGCATAGCATTTACTTGCATTCTCCTCTCAGGGCTGTTTGGAATCCCTTTATTTCATCAGCCGAGGTTGCCAAATTTCCTCTAAGGTGCAGTAGTAGACGGGGGGTGGGCTGGCCTGTAAGGTGCAGTAATAGAAAGGGGGGGTAGGAGAGAGTAGAAACCTCCCAGAATAAGACAGTAGAAGCAAAAAATAATACAATGCATTATAAATACCAAATATATTTTCTTATGGTTTAGTACTAGATTTTATTTCCGGTGTGTATTTTTTTCAGAAAAAGGCTTACTTAGTTTTTCTTTAGGTTCAAGAATATTTACTAGTATTGTGTAAAAGATATATGTTTTGATAAGTTTTGACAGGCTTTGTCTCTTACTCTCTATAAAATGTTAAAATTTGTACATTTAAGAAATTCTTAGCAAGAAATTAATATACTGTCGTTAATGCTTTCATTGCATTTAGTTCTTTAGTTTTAAAAACTACTTATGCACCCTTTTTTCCCCACCCAAGAAACTGAACAGGCATGGGGGTAAAAATGTGAACTAAAAGTGTGATTTTTTTTTTTTTTTTTTTTAAACTTGCAGAACAATGAACTGTCTTACTTGCTCAGGTTCTCAATGTATCCTTACTAATAACTTTATTAATCTACTTCATTTACAGGAAGTGTTCTTCAGTCAAAGTTTGCTTACCTCAGCAGAGACAAAAATTTAATGGGCAAAAGTACAGTGTTTAGGTAGGTAGATATTTTCATGTGGTGTGCTCAAGGTTCTTTTAGGAAGGACTTCCATTGTAATGAAATAAGCTTCAGAATGAAAGATATTGTGCTTTAAAAGTACTGTATGATGGATTCCATAATGAAATGATGAGGAAGGTTTATCTGAAGTGTATTAATGTTGTCAATTAGCTACTCTTCAAATTTACGTTTGTTAAATGAGACTACAGAAAGTTCTTCAGAATGTTGTGTGTCTGATTAGTTTATTTCCTTGTGTATCTTTTTAACTTGGCAAATATTTTTATTTAATATTTGTACACAAAAGAGACTGTTCTTTTTGACTTTCTAGCATTTGAAATTTAGAACGTGAATTTCCTAATAAGTTATGACAGGAATAGACTTCCTTGACTTATCAGATATTTTTCTACATTTAGCATAGCTGAATGTAGTGGGCTTCATTTAAATAATAAAAGGTTTCTTTTCCAGTTTGTCATAATTGTCTCTGTAATACTCTTTATTGCTAATAAAAATTACTGTTAAGAGACCACCAATGTGGTTATGAACAGCGGTATGCATAGAAGATAGATGAGGCTTACATTCCATTTTACAGATGTTTTCTTTATATCCTCTTCCAAAACCAACCCAAAACATGAACTAAAGCTTTTTCAAATTAATATTGTCTAGTTTGCAAATATTTATTGGATTCCTTTCCATTTCTTCAGATCAAACAAATCTTACAGGTTAGTAATAGTCCCTGAAAAGAGTTTTCATTTAATGCTCATTAAGAAAGAAAGAAAAACGACAGACCGAAAACATATTTCTTTATAATTATGTAGGGTATTTCTTAAGTGGCCTTACATTTAATTCAAATAGGGCTCTACCATCAAAAGTGGAATGTTTGTTTTGTGAAATGTATGTTTACTTTATACAGTGTTTTCAAAACATTGCAGAGTTTAATAGCATGGTTTTTACACCATGTATCCAATGTAATAATACAATTAAGCACTAATCAGATTATAGCATGACCTAAAGGGAGGGACTCTATTAAATAAAAAATGAGCTGGCGCTTGCAAATAGAAATTTAAAACTAATGTTTGTAATAATATAATTACTATTTATAATATTAGAATGTAGGAACCTCAATAGATAACCCCACACAATGAAAACAGGATTTCATATAGGAGCCTACAGAAAAGTAAAATGTCAAATGGTAGGAGAAAATAATCATGTTCATCAAAAGCTGTTAAAACAAATTGAACATGGAAATAACAGAGATGGTGATGAGAACAAGTCCAAACATGTCTTAATTGAATAAGAATCTTAAACAAGACAGCTATATGTAAGAGTTGCCAAATATCAGAAATAACTTGCCTGTTGTAATTTTTTTGTTTTACTTCACACTTTTTGATGAATATTTGTTTAGTTGTTGAACAGTTTCAGAAAGTGTTAAAAATTATTTTTCTTTGACTTGCTATCAATACTGTGATGTAGCCTATTGTGCTTAAGTTGTAGCTACTAAAATATGAAGGTGAATCTTGTATACTTCTTTTTCCAGTCCTTGTTATGGGGATTTCTAATACCCTGGTGGGAGAATGCCAGACCTGGCATGGGGTGGTCTCCCTCCATGTAGCTTACTAAAAAAATTCTGCCTCTAAAAGTAGTGTCTAAACTGATCTTTTTTCCTCAAAGCAAAATTGGACAATACACCTTATTTCCCACCGAGAGACTAATTCTCATGAACACTTTGCTTTCTGTATTTTAATGAACTGTCTGTTCCTGAGGCATTGTAGGCTTACCTTCAGCCCCCACACAGTGCATAAAAGAAGTTGAAGGCCTGCATGGCATTTCCATTTCCATTTGTCTCTTCTGCTCTCAGTTAGCCATCATTCAAAACACAACAGTGAATGAATAGGTGCTGCTGCCAGCAAATTCAGCAGTGGCCAACTGCAATCCCTGGAAGCTGTGGCACAGTCCAGGGTCCATATTGTGAAGACAAGACCCGTGCTGAGTTAAGGACTGTGATCAGAGGCAGATTGCTATTTTTGCTGATGTACTGATTTAATCTGAACCAGGCAATAGGAACAGCTATGTGAGTCAGAAGCTCTACACACTTTTTGGGAAGAAAGGCCCTTTAAAACAATAAGGGCAGAATTTGTGAGGTGGCATGACATTAAAGGCTGGCCAGCACAGCTAAGTAGTAGGTGAAATTATCCCTCTACATTGGCAATAGTCTTTACTTCTCTTCTGCTTGAAGTGTTAAAATGGCTTTGCTCCACAAGGTAGACATGCAGGGATTATGCAGGCTGATTTCCAGATTGCTCTTTCTTCTCCTCCTCCTCCTCCTCCTCCTCCCTCCTGTTTCTCAGGGAGGCCTGTCTGCTCTAAGGAGAAATCTGAGCAAATATGGAGGAAGGCAAGCCGCAGACACTAACCTCTATATAAAATGAGAGGCCATTACCAAAGAGTGAGTAGATATTCTACAAAGAAACTGGAGAGTCCTCATAAAGATCAGTTCTCAATATACATTTCTTCCTTCATTAGGAATAAGTACTAAGACCAAGCAAAAGCTCTATTAATAAGAAATAAATCCAGGAAATCCTACAGATCATCCAGCTCTCAAAGGGACTTGAATCTAAAAAATTGTTCAGGAACAATGATGGAACAAGAACTTAATTTCAGCTTATCTTTCACCAAAGAGATATTCAGATAGTCCACTTTATCAGGAACTGAGATTTAGTGTGTGTTCTCTCTGGAATTCTTCAACACTATATGGTAAGAAGAATAAGTTAGTACACTAGTGGATAGTCAGAGAGAAAAATAGAGACGATGACAATTCATGAACATATTTTCCCATAAATTAAAGAATAATTCTGCATTTCTCTTTAGTCTTCTCTTGAAGACATCTGTTCAGAGTGGGAACATCCCAACATGTCAAGAAAAATCAGCTGTCAGATATATATGTTCTAAACTTTTCCAACATATACAGTGGACTGTCTCACTTCCCATGGTTGATGCCGCTGTGATGTCATTAGATATAGTTATACCTTTAATGATTTTATTCCAGAAGAACCTAGAAACAGAAATAACCATTGGTTTCAGGACTGTTGACAATTGCAGTTCCTCATTTTTTTTTTTTTTTCCCCCCCCCCCCCCCCACCCCCCGCAATCTGTTTTACTAGAGCCTTGCTTGCCTGGGCCAAGTTCAAATCTATCTTAAAGAAGTCTTCTAGTTTCTTCTCTTCCGTCCTGTTATCTAGCAGATAATGGCCTTTAACACGATTTCCAGATGGCACACTTGGCTGAGAATTGAAAAACAGACCATGAGCAGAGTAGCTGACACTGTCCAGTTACTTCAGAGGGAAACTTACAAGAACTCCTAAATGCCTGTAGCAGAAACGTACTCTTCCCCCAGCTTTCTTAGGTAGACAGAAAAAAAAGCCATATGATTTTTACCTTGGTATAAAACTAGGGCTGTCGATTTAATCACAGTTAATTCACGCAATTAACTCAAAATTAATCACAATTAAAAAAATTATTTGCAGTTTTAATCACACTGTTAACCAATAGAATACCAATTGAAATGTATTAAATATTTTTGGATGTTTTTCTACGTTTTCAAATATTTTGATTTCAGTTACAACACAGAATACAAAGTATACACTGCTCACTTTATTATTTTTTATTACAAATATTTGCACTGTAAAAATGATAAAAGAAATAGTATTTTTCAATTCACTTCATACAAGTACTGTAGTGCAATCTCTTTATTGTGAAAGTACAACTTACAAATGTAGATTTTTTTTTTTGTTACATAATTTCACTCAAAAACAAAACCATGCAAAACTTCAGAGCCTACAAGTCCACTCAGTCCTACTTGTTCAGCCAATTGCTAAGACAAACAAGTTTGTTACCTTTATGGGAGATAATACTGCCTACTTCTTATTTACAGTGTCACCAGGAAGTGAGAATAGGCATTTGCATGGGACTTTTGTAGCCAGCATTGCAAGGTATTTACATGCCAGATATGCTAAAATTCGTGTGCATCTTTCTGCTTCGGCCACCATTCCAGAGCACATGCTTCCATGCTGATGATGCTTATTAAAAAAAAAAAAAAAAAAGTGTTAATTAAATTTTTGACTCCTTGTGGGAGAATAGTATGTCTCCGGCTCTTTTTTACCTGAATTCTGCCATATATTTCATGTTATAGTAGTCTCGGATGATGACTCAGCACATGTTCATTTTAAGAACACTTTCGCTGCAGGTTTGACAAAGCGCAAAAAAGGTACCAATGTGAGATTTCTAAAGATAGCTACAGTACTCGACCCAAGGTTTAAGAATCTGAAGTGCCTTCCAAAATCTGAGAGGGACGAGGTGTGGAGTATGCTTTCAGAAGTCTTTCTGAAGAGCAACACTTCGAGGCAGAAACTACAGAACCCAAACCACCAAAAAAGATCAACCTTCTGCTTTTCATTATCTGACTTGGATAATGAAAATGAACATGCGTCCGTCCACACTGCTTTGGATTGTTATCAAGCAGAACCCGTCGTCAGCATGGACGCATGTCCCCTGGTATGGTGGTTGAAGCATGAAGGGACATATGAATCTTTAGTGCATCTGGCACGTAAATATCTTGCGACACCAGCTACAACAGTGCCACGTGAACACCTGTTCTCACTTTCAGGTGACGTGAACAAGAAGTGGACAGCATGATCTCCTACAAATGTAAACAAACTGGTTTGTCTGAGCGATTGGCTGAACAAGAAATAGGTCTGAGTGGACTTTTAGGCTCTAAAGTTTTACATTGTTTTATTTTTGAATGCAGTTATTTTTTGTACATAATTTTACATTTGTAAGTTCAATTTTCATGATCAGGAGATTGCACTACAGTACTTGTTTTAAGTAAATTGAAAAATACTATTTCTTCGCTACAGTGCAAATATTTGTAATCAAAAATAAATATAAAGTGAGCACTGTACACTTTGTCTTGTAATTGAAATCAATATATTTGAAAATGTAGAAAA